TATTTTAGAACATGGCGAACAGTACCGTACCGAAACAGTTAAAACTCTGATTATTTCTCTGACGTTTCGGCAGATGATTCTTCGTCGTCAGTTACGTTTCCTCGCGTCAGCAAGAACGCAAGATCGTCTACTGAAGAATCGTAGGATACAGAAGTGCGCAACTTTCCGTCTTCACGGCCTCATAAATTTGCGAACGTACGTCACGCTTGAATTTTGAAGAATTGGTAGTTAACATAAAAAATAGACGAGCATGCGTACCGTATAAAAAGAGTGCGTCGCCGCATTAGAACCTGAGACAGAGCACCGGCTTTAACATATGCTCCATAATGCGTCAAATTGCGTGCGCCTTTGAACGGCTCGTCACGCACGTTGCGCAACGTTTCGATTGTTCGATACAGGAAGTGGACCGCGTTTCCGTCACCTGCCTCCAACTTTCCGGCCAATTCTCGAGCTCTTTCGCTAGCTGACAGACAGGCCGGCCGGCCGGCCGGCCGGCCGAGTAAGCGAGAATTATTACTGGGACGCGGAATTATTGCGCGCGATCAAAACAACAGTGACGACGACTGTGCGCGCGCGTTCCGGATATTTTCTCGTTACCGGATTTTCACTGTCGCGCCGAATGAAAGATCGACGCCGTTAATTCTGACGTTAATGCAGCATTAACGTTAACGTCCGTGGGACGTTGCATCAGCTCGCATTGAGTTTCATAAAAAAAAGGGAAAGAAATGCTTTCCCGTTATTCTCGTACGCCGGAAGTATCGTTTACGCGCTACGGTGAAACTAGAGGCGATTATGTTTGTCATAATGCGCGAAGGTGCGTGGAGTAAAATTTGCGTGAAAATGGAATACGACCGCGACTTTGAGGGTCGCCGCGGTATCATCGACGAGATTCCGCCCGTATGAAGGGAAATCTTGGCAATGCGTGTAACAACGCAATTTATATGCGTCCTGCTGAATTTACATGTGAAAGAAGCGCGGCGTAACGACGGATATTTACATCGCACCGTATTTTCCTCGGTTTCTACGGGGTGTCTCGGGAAATATTGCGACACGTTCGTACCGACCGACAAATGAATTTTCATCCGCTCGCCCTATTTCGATTTCGAAGTCCCTCTCTCCCCCCTCTCTCTCTCTCTCTCTCTCTCTCTCTCTCTCTTTCGACGAACTCCTCGCCGGATCCAGCATCATAAAAGGAAATAGTTGTTTCGAAAGTTGCGCGCGACTTTGGTTATCCTCGTTTAGGATTTCGAAACGGAGAAAGTTTGTAAAAGTACGAAACGAGTGTAAGAGGTAAAGGGCCGATGGACCAGGAATATCGGCTTTTCTCGTTGTAACACTTTCTGATGTAATAATACAACGTCTGTCAGCATTAATACCACCTGTTTAAACAACGATATCTAATGATGTCTCGGATCAATGGATGCGGTTGATTAGTTATCATATTACTGTTATTATTCGCTGTTTCTGCTCGTTCCTGTCACACCGGCGTGACATGTTAATGTGACCGAGCATGAGTGTGTTAGAGATGTATTTTCACCTGATACGATTAATTTCGGTGAAAAGGACTTCTCGCGGACTTCGGATTCTATAGAGACAACCCCGATAGTCCCACGCGCGTTATACATAGGCACGAGTGATTTCTACAGACGTTCGCAAATTTCTCCCCGTGATTAAATTCCCGTCGTTTGCCCTCTCACAGAATTCCGCCGACTCTCTTTTATTCAATAAGTCGCGGCAAAAAATCAATCCGATAGCATTTCTGCGCCGATGGCCGGAGCGTACTAAGGAATCGATGAATTCTGTTTACCCAGGCAGCTGCGTGTCAAAATCCGGCAGAAATTTAAGTGGAAAAAGTCTACACCCCACGAGCCGAGCTTCGCTGACTCGAAAAACCAGACTGCCACTTGGTCGATAACCCCGCTCGCAGTCGGACTGCTTCGGGGTTACTAAAGGTTACAACCTCCACTTTCGAGTCCACGACCGAAACAATATCACATAAGTAACGTGTCGGATCGAATGTGCTAATATTAAAAGCCCGATTAAGAAGTACCGCCTCGCTGAAGACGAGGGAAGAGATGATATGGCGAAAATAATGCGTATTTCCACCCGTTCTCCCTTCTACCTCGACATTGATCTAAATTATATTAACGTGTAATATTCCTCTGATTTCGAATTGACTTTTTATAATTAATTCACAAATTGTTTGTACACGCATTTTTTTTAACTTGCAGCGGCGTGACCGATATTACGTTTCGATATTAAATTTCAATGTTCATTAAAAGCCCGACCATTCGACCATGCTCGAAAACACAATTCCTGCGGCTGACATCGGATACGTGAAGTTTTAATTTGCAACGCGTTAATGCTCAACGAATGTCATACCGACGAAATTCGAGCTCTCTTCCCTCCTCCCTCGTCTCGTTTTGTCGCGGTGCCTCGATGATTTATGAAAACTGATCTCGAAAAAGTTACGCCCGGCTGCAAAAGTTCTCAACGGTTCAAAAGTCGATGGGCGCTTTTCGGAGGCTATCGGACTGCAAGATTCGTCGGCACGCGTCACGTCCCACGTGAAAGTGGAAAGTTTTCCACGTGACTACGAATCGGAGAAGTTTCCTCGGCGGATTATCCGCCCGATAATGTCGTCCGCGCGTGAATACAACGGGACGAGGTGAATCATCCGTCGTTTGATATTATACGTTGCGCATTTCTGCATCTACGCCTCTATATTATACAGTACTATAAATACTATAGTATACCACACTGCACCAGGGAGATACTCGATTTCGCCGATCTTAAATTCCTAGGGAACCTAAATTGCCGTCCGTGTATCCCGCCTTCCTCGAATTTCTAACCGGGGAAACCCTAACCCGCGAATCTAAGGACCTCTCGTGAATCTAAGAATCCCTCGCGAATCTAAGGTTCCACGGAGGAGGAGGCTGCAGTTCGTCAGATCGCCGGCGTACAAACTGCTGGTATCCAGGGGTTCCGCGCATTCCTTCTTCGAATCCTGCGTTCCGTGGAACCTTTACAAACTTTGCTCTCCGCCGCTATCGTGTCTTCCACATATATTAGATTCCGCGAATTGTAGCTTTCACCGGGAATCTAACATCCACAACCACCACACACCATCATCGTCCGCAGATCGCAGTTTCTACAAATCGCGAGTTCCTTGAATCTCGGCTCTCGCAGTAAAATCTATCCATAACTTCCCACCCGACCTCCACCCATATCTTCCGCCCTCTGTAGCACCGCGGTACGTAGCGCTCCTAAATTTTACGAATCCCAGGATACCAGGATACCCGCGCACATATTCGTCCTTTCACGGAGGTGCCGTTATGGCATAAGGAGGGAAAAGCGAGCACTCGACCACAAAAGTGAAAAAAAGTGGGCACGAGTCCGGACCGTCCAGGATCAACGAGAGCACGTCCTCGTCCCCTTCTCCGCACTCTTCTTCCCTTCTAATTGCCTCAACCAGCGTCGCGGCGGAGCCATTAATTTCGTTTAATCGACTGCTCTTCTTCTCGTTGCCAACAGAGAAGAGCTCGCTCCGGTCGATCTCCCGGCAAACGATTTCCGAAGGATGGAAAGAAGGAACGAGCGGCGAATCGAGGGCAGGGGGTAGAGAAAGAGCAGGACAACGGGAGGAAAGAAGAAGAAGAAAAAGTGAGCGAGCACGCGACGAGAACGGAGAGCGGAGCGCAGAATGGTATTGCGTGACTTCCGCGGGGCGCGAGAAATGATGAATTTGGCGAGACGAAGTAAACGGCGGGGCCTCCCGACATAATCTCCCGCTCTCGAGGAAACGCGAGGGCGACGAAAAAAGCCGGCGAGCGTTTACGCGGATTAATAAGCGTGATGTAACAGAAATTACCGGCGCCGAAACGGCGCGGTAATTGTGTTACGACGACGACGACAACGACGGCGACAAGCAAGAAACAACGAGCTGCTGCCGACGACGAATCACGAAAGCGGCGAATTCAAATCGAATGACGGTGCTGAGCGATCGATTAAAAGATTGATAATTATAAGACAAACACACATCAATTCTCTGGCTGCTTCAGCTGATGACGCGTGACAAATTGCGCCGTTAATGTCGCGATCGTTGCGAAACTGACGGAGGGTCTTGAGCAAACGATTACGACGACGGGCGTCTCTGCTATCTTACACTCTTCCGCCTTATCAGTCGGGTATATCACCGTCATTAGTTTCAACAAAACGGATCGACGCATCCGGCCCTCACTTGATTCATTACGGATGTAACGGAAACTATGGGATTGCCGCATAATGGTGCTCGCAGCACTTTACACGAGAGGGATGAAATTGAGCATGTCTAAGTGGATACAGCGAGTTCTAGGCTGAATTATTGCGCCGTCACGATTCCCGGCCGGCCCTACGCGGCTAACTACCCTATTACAATTAAATTTACGACACTCTTTAAACTCTTCCATGAAACAGCACATTCGCGTTTCCGCCTCTTTTTCTCAGCCAGCCCAAGCTGCAATTGGATCTACGCCCGCTCTGCCGCTCCGCGCCGATCTCAAACTTGCGCGATTCATGCTACGCCTGAGGCACAAAAGCCCGTGATGAGATTTGCCGCGCCTTTTTTTCGAACTTCAACTTGAATTCGCGATGAAATTCGCGCTGTCGTTTCCCAAAACGCCCGGCTACGACGACCGCGCGATTCAGTCACTACGCCAGCCATTCAACTTCTCCAAGCAAGTGCACAGCACCACCGACTTTCAAACTGACGATAAAGTTTACACCTTGCACCTCGAATTCTCCGGACGACCCATCGGGTAAATATATGTTACCGTTTCAATTTCCCAGTCAAAGGCGCAATGGGCACATCCGCGCCAGTTGGTCAAAACAACCCGATCATCGGCGCCGTTTCCGCGCAAACAACGGGAGAGAGTCGATATCGAGATCCCCGCGCGTTCTCCGCCGCAGTACGAAACACGCGGTTAATCGAGATCGCAAGTTGCTTCGGATCGCCGTCTTACCTCCCACAAACCTCCGTCACGAGACTCCGTTCGCCATGACCGCGGGCATCCTCAAGGAGAGCACAGCATCTTCCAGTATCCCTCGAGATCGCAAGGACACATGAGCTTACATCCTTCCACGCACTCAGCCGGTTTCGCGGAGCACGCAAGTTTCTGTTGTCGAGCACACGCGAGAACAAGCACCTTTTGCGACTCCGTACGTCCGCATGCACGTCTTCGAAGATCACAGAATGACGAGTAAACGAGGAAAATGAAAGAACAGATTCACGTGTACCGGAGGAGTCTCTCGATCTCGATCAACGGAACGCGAGAAAGAGAGACAGCCAGAAGAACGATCGAAGAGAGACTCTTGCAAAGGGCGACATAAAATCCAAGCTCAACGTCCGCGCAACGACTGGCGCCTGACACCTCCACCCTTCCGACAACACCCCATCCACCCCCTCACAAGGGCCGGACGAGAAGTAGGCAGGGGCTAGAGAGGGGAAGCACGAGGAGTGACGGAGAGAACCGAGCGTGAGATTCTCGCCACGAGTGGCGCTGACGGCAGGATGTGTAGGGAGAGATAGTGGGGATTGGTTGGCTGGTCGTTGTACGCTGGTGCACGGTTGGGAACGCGCAACGGGGGTGAACGGGGGTTCCCCGCGCTCTTTCCTTCTCTACGCAACGAGGGATTTCCGCGGCACCGACAGAGCGAAAGATAGAGAGAGAGAGAGAGAGAGGGGGGGAGGGAGGGAGGGAGGGAGAGGGAGAGAGAGAGAGAGAGAGAGAGAGAGAGAGAAAGAGAGAGAGAGAGAGAGAGAGAGAGAGAGAGAGAGGGAGAGAGAGAAATCGGTCGTGACGGCGATCCGTGACAGCGGCGCACGCGCGCGGTCCTAGATTTCGTCTCGCCTCCTGATTTTTCGTAATAAAAACGTTTGTCTTGTCGAGTAGCGCGGCTCGCATATCTCCGACGCAGCGTGCAGCAGCAGCAGCAGCAGCAGCGCGCGCGTGTGTCTCCCACGCGCCCCGTGCTTACACGAGATTTGAGGAAAGGTAGGACGAACGGTCCGTTGGTCGTTCGGTCGGTCGGTCGGTCGCTCGTTCGCTCGTGATGCGTTTGCGTTCACGCGCGCCACGAAAATCGAGAGAGAACGAAACGAGAATCAATGGTGTGGAGTGACGGCTCGCGCCGTGGAGTACTACAGCAGGGGAAAGTTACCCGAGTGTTAAGAGGTGTGGCTAATCCTTAAGCACGCGCCAAGGGGGAAGCGGAATTTCCGCTCGGTCCATGCAAGAAGAATACCCAACGTTTATCTCCCGCCACGTGGCGAGGGTTGAGTTAATTTAGGATCCCGAACATGACAACGCCGTTATAACCGTTGATATCGTCGCTGCTTCGCAATTTTGACTTTTTTCCAGCCGATAGCGATACGTCCGACTGTGAAGAATGAAGGAGATGCATGAGAGTGTGGAGTAGGAGGAAAGGAGGGGAGGAAGAAGTCGGTGAATTCAGCTGCGTGTAATGAATCGATCGAAGACGCAGACTGTCTTATTAGTTTCGTACTTAGTGGCAAAACGCTTGAAACCATTGCGAGAATCGGAGAAGATCAGCGGAGAAGACCAGCGGAGATTGCGCGGCTGTCATTTAAGATCAACGAACACTTTGATATTGGATACTACTTTCTGACTCCTCACGGATTACGGACGATCTGGCTCCATTATGTAATTTAAGCTGTAATTTATCCGCTTGGAATATCCAGAATTTGCGGTCCAAACTACTTCGCGAAGCCCACTTTAGCACGCTACACTCGCGCGATGTAACGTTCCGTACATAATGATAAATGTCAAAACCGCCGCGGCTGCAACAGGCGTAAGAAATAGTTCGGAGTAATTTGTAGCCAACACAGTAATTGATCCATTATTGAGACGTATATATACGCGTATCTTCAATCGCGACGCGCTCGTAACTCCAGTTACACATTCTTCGGTAAACACACCGGGATGTATCTCCAATCTGCGAGTGAGCTGTCTCTATCCAAGGAATTGGACTCACCTTATTTATATTACAGAAGTTAATTTTAATGTCAAATTAAAAATGCACGAGGCAACCTCCCGCGAAGGAGGATAGGGACAGGGATAGGAGAGATAAAGATAAAGAAATAGAGAAAGAAAGGGAGACTCTTCCTTTAAGACGATTGCAACACAAACAGCGAATACATTTCTGTCTTATACATGTACAAATCACGAATATTCTGATCGTTCTAGGTGGAGAGGATTCGTTCCCGAAGGACGAAGCAGGCAACTGGAAAGTTAAATAGAAGCCCGTAATAACGAACTCGGGACGTGCCTCAATTGCAGGCGAACTATTTTCATATTTATCTTTTCTGCCGTAACGATATACCGATGCCAAGGAGCTCGTCTTTGTCGTCAATTAGTAAGGCTCGAAACACAAACGGAGAGACGAATTGCACAGTTTCTTAACGATTCCAAAAGAAGACGAGAAAAGTCATTACAAGGACCGTTGCGCATAATGGCGCATTGATAAGGATTGTCCTTTAAGAAACCGTTTGCGTCTTTCGGAGGTGGTACTAATAAGACCCACCGAGGCCTCGATAACAATTAACGGATTAAAATATTTCTTTGGGCAACAAGACCTCTCTCGTTAGGCGATTTCTCTTTTAGCGAAAGCTAATGATGAACTCAGCGAGACGAAGGACAAAAAGAAGTGTTTCCGATACGAAGCGCAATTTGTGTAGACAACGCAAGAAAGAAATCCTACGCTCCAACATATCCCAACGTTACCGTTTCTGCCATGATAAAATACTCGATTCGAACAGCCACAAATCGCGAGTGTGTGGAGCGCGCGCGTAACATCCATTCAAATTTGAATGGAAATTAAAATGGCGATTTTAACCCGGCATGAGAAACACACTCGATTTATAAATTACAGTATTCAACGCGGTTTAATAAAACACGCGGCGCCTCTGTTTTTCGGGTTAACCAGGCCACGATGTGAACGGTCGTTGTTATTTTTTTCCAGCTCACCAACGGACTATCAAACCGACGTGCCGTGTATCCAATTTATTTTTAAACAGTTTCTCACAAACTGATGGTTGCATTATTTTACGGATTAGAAGTTTTTTCACGTAACTTCGTAAGATATTTTAAAACATCACGTTTAACATTACGCATGTTAATAATTTAACGTTACCAATGAAAATTGGCAGTGAACTTGCCAATAAAGTAAAATGTTATTTATTCATTTCCAAAGATACTCACAGTGTCTGTTTCACACCTTACGCACATGATATTTCATTTTAATTGATATTTAATTGATAAATATCATATCTCGAAAATAAAACATTTTTGAGAAAAATGCGTTAAACAAAAATAACAGGTTTCCCAGCGACACGGTGCAATACATATACGTGTCCTACGCAAGACGGTCAAACACTAGTGTGTAAGTACGACGGGTTAAACTGGATAGAAAAGTGTCTTATCATTTTTTAAACAACTACATAAAATCTCGTGTTATTAGTGAAAGAATATTAGCAAATCAGTATGCAATACAATAAGACAACGCGATCGCATGAAAAATAACTAATTGCGCGATTGTCTTTTAGCAGTGATTAGTATCATATGGCAGTGAAATACGGAGAAAAGATGCGAACGGTGCATATACAATGTTTATCGTGACACTCAATACCACAGACTTCTATATAGGGTAACACCGAAAAAGGTGCCAAACTTTGATACTATATTCTTTCTAAGGATGAAAAAGGTTATATAAACATAAGTCCTGAAACTCTTTCTTTCCAAGATATAACTTTTTTGTTTATGATTGAGTATTGTAAGAATGTTTAAAGCTTACTTCAAGAAATTGCTAGAAAAGATTTCCTTCAGCAGTAATACACGCTTCATATCGACATTGCAGAGATTGTCGAAGACATTCAAAAATTCCTGTGTATTCCGAATTTTTTCACACGTGGCAATAATCCGGTTTTTGAGTGTTTCCAGATTGTCAATAGTATTATTATCATAGATTAAACTTTTAAAATGTTCCCACAAATAAAAATCTAAAGGAGTTAAGTCAGGGGAACGTACAGGCTAGGCAATTGGTCTTCCTCTGCCAATCCACCGATTGGTGTAATTGTTATTAAGACATTTTCTAGCAATTCGACTAAAATGGGTCAGAGTTCTATCGTGTATAAACCACATTCGAATGTGTGTTACCAATGGTACATCTTATAATAGTATAGAAAGTTCAGTTTTCAAAAATTGTGTATAATTTCTACCGTTGAATATAAATGGAAAAAAAACTGGTCCAATAAACAAGTCTCCAATAATTCCAGCTCACACGTTGCGTGAAAACTGGTGTTGGTATCGAGATTGATTAACAGCGTGCGTATTATCTAAGCTTCAAACATTCCTTCATACTCAATCATAAACAAAAAAGTGTTTATATCATGGAAAGGAAGAGTTTCCGGACGTATATTTATATGACCTTTTTTCATTCTGAAGAAGAGTAGAATACCCTATCGAAGTTTGACCACTTTTGTCGATATCACCCTGTATAACATATCTAGACTGCTAATACAGATGAGTGCATAGTCGAAAAGCTATTGCAAGGTATAAATGATGGTGGAAGTAGCGGTCATATTGGAAATAGGCACTATGAGATGTTCGTATTTATTATTACTGCGGTATAATATGATGATCTTATATTATTATCTACCTTTCGCTCTTTCTGTCCTTATCACTACCTATTGGTTTACTATTTGGTTTACTTTCAATATGGCGGTAGGATTTACCAGTGCATTATGGTTAGGACCATAATTACAGTAAAACTAAATCGAATATTTGTCTTTGCTCTCATATACACCTGCACAATAAGAATCATCGGATGTTTAGTCACATACATAGACTTGAGGCCACTTCTATCTTCTCTCATTAAAAAGAAATGAGGATATGGAATCCTAAATAATCAGAGAATAGCAACCGAAAGCTAGCTCACTTATTGGATGACCGCGGCTCCAATCAAAATCGAGAATGTTGGACTCGCAGTTGATATTTCCGAATACGAAAAATTAATATTTGTAATGATATTAACAAAATAAGCAGGTTCCTAGATAATGAACAAAAAAAGTCATATGATAATACTACTTTATCATACAAGATATCGCTGTTATGTATCAATTTTGACGACATTTCTCATTTAATATTCTGAAATTTAAAAAATCTCTTATTTCACATTAATTACAGTGTTTGAACAAAAACACTTTTGAATTCCTTGTAACTTTAAAAAGGCTATTCTTCATTTAAAATATGAGAAATTTTATGCATCAGCCCTAGAAGAAAGTAATATTTTACAGAAGCATTTTCTTCATAAAAGTGAGTCGAAAACG